TTGTATGAGGAAATGAAAGGCTTGAGTTATCAGTGTATGAGAGATTTTAATCTACCTTATCTCTGCCACAAAGTTAAAATTAAACAAACAACCTCCAAAGTCTGTTTTCTTCTTACCTTTCAGAACCATTTCATGCAAAACCAGTTTTGCTCTTTATTACCATACATTAGAAAATAAAAGGCAAGCATGCATTTGGCAAAAGATTTAGTTGTTGACTATATAAAAATGCCCAACATGGGTCACATTGCAAAAGGAAAACCCCAAAGTGTAACAATGAAGACACAAACATGTGTACAGAAGGCTCACAGAGTATTCGTTTCCCTAAAGTATGAAGAGATTTTTTTTCAAATAATTAAATATTTTATGAAATCTGGTAACGATCTCAAGACTGTTGACATACTTCCACTGGAGAATCATCCCTTTCACTTATTTTTAAAAAGTTTCATTTTATAACAAAGAGTTAAATGTAAACTAATGAAATATTTATTGGTATTTTCATAATGAAAACTCTAAACATTTATACATAGATATATAGTACAAAAATTATACAAATTAAAGAAAGGGGGGTAAAATAGTAATAGATCTATTTTGCTTCCTGTAAATATTTTTTTTTATGAACCTATAAGGTATCCTTTCTAAAAAGATAAATTCTATCTCTAATTAGCTAGCAAGGTTGTGCTAATAAAATAGGATTATACCTCTTGAAGCATCAGACATTGCACTATTTCATAAGCCAGCTAATCCTTTATTACTTGATTTCTTTCACATCCATACTCAAACACATTTCCGTGCACACCATGGAGAATGAAGAAATGTGCATCTTCCTTTTCACAACTTATAAAAACCTAAAGCACCAACACTTGGGAGACCACTGGACAGACACGTTATTTGTCTCCTCCTGGCCTTCCAGTTTTGCATACTCTTCAAAGTACCATTAGCAACATCTTGATTTGGTATTCATAGCCAGTTTTCGGTATTGCATTGAAGCAGGAAATGAGTTTAAAACTAAATTAAAAAAAAATAGGGAATACTGTAGTTTTTCCGAGCTACAGGTGATTTCTTGATTCCATACCTTTAATAAAGAGAGGTTTTACTTAGAAGCACAAAAACAAAGTCACTAGAATATTAGATAATTCTGATATTCACTTAACTGTCATTTATTCCTAGCTGTGTAAAGACTGTCACATCTCAATTAAAAAATGGAAGCACTCTACTTCTCAAAATTCATCAGTTCACGTATGAATAAATACAGCAACATGATGATATTCTAACACAAGAGCTGTGATTTTTTGAGGTTTGAAATTGATGATAAGAAAAACATAAAATAATGTCAGAGTAGAATACAAAAGTAAAAAAAAAACTTTATGTAGTATATTAATTTTATTATTAAAAAACTAACTTAAAAGTATTACTGATTCTGAAGACCAAATATTTAGAAAATTACTTACTTCCAAAACAAGAATACTGAAAGTAAGTTCTAGAATTTGGTTTTCAATATTCAAAATCATCCAACTCATTCAGTAGAATGTTTTGGTATTGGAAATTATGTTAAATGCTTTAGTTATACTTTTTTCTTAAAGAAAACTCAAAATGCCATGAGTGATAGGGGCCATTCAAAAATATGCAGGACCCAAAACAGAGAGGATAGTACAAGAGACTGTATTACTCTTACATTTACCACATACGATCAACGTTTCAACCTCTATTATATTTCACAACTTGTTATTAAATTTAAAGCACCTGTGTATGGTGATTTTTACTTTCACTCTACAGCCTATGGTATTGAATTGAACACTGTAAATTGTCCCATTGGATTAAATCATGCAACTGTCACAGAATTAGGTTAAGTGGTTTATAAGGCATATTGGAACGAGTTAAAAATCATTTTATATCCATTTAAAAGTTTATTCTTTTGGATGAAGGGGTTCCTGAATGCCTCAGTCATAACATATGCTGTAAATCAGTTGGATAGTTTGTTAAAGTATAATTTATTTGGCTTAGGATGGAGTTGCAGGACTTGGAAGGAATTGTAGTCATCACAGAGATGGAGGGTGTCCTCTGAGCTGGGCTGGGAGCAGCAGTTGTCATGCCACATTCAGAATTCCAAGTACACAAGGATGCCAAGGACAGGAAGCAGGAAGCCAAGAAGACATGGTGATAGGATGGATGCATCTATAATGTAAACCAAAAAAGTGCATATTATTTCATTGATAACAGTCACTGTTGCTCATTTACCCTGCTATGGGTATTATGTAACCATGAAACTCAAGTGGTTCCTTTAAAAAAATACTAGCTTCACTTAGTCTTAAGTGACTTAAGAAAAACAAAAATGTTTGATCAAGGATTTTGTGTGTGAGACTGTGTGGACTGTTTATACCAAAAGTTCATATAAATCATTTAAGATAATAAGATCACAAATGTTTCTGTTTTTCCTGTGATCCAGCAGTCCCAAACTCCTACCAGAAGGCACTAGGTCAGGAAACATGTATAAATAAGTGAAAAATCGCAAGTAAGCTGTGAAAAAATAAGATAAAGAGATGCAGAAAAAATGCTAATAATGTTACATGGGGCAATGACATCATAGGTATACTGGAAGGTCCTACATGATTTCATATCCTAATGGTTTTAAAACATTTAGGGGCTTATACGCAATGATTTTAGAAATGTATTTTTGATAATAATAAATAACCTATTCAAATTTTTATCTAAAGAACAATTGCCCTGAGAGATGTTATGTAAATGAAGAATAAAAATGATGTAATATTCTACAGACTTAAATTACGTCTTGAATGCCACCTAGAAGGGCTCTTCCTGTGGTCAGATAAGTTTATGGGTCCAAGTCCAGCTTCACTGGAATTCTTGAGAAAGGGCTGAAAAGTGGGACCAAGAAGGTACAGTCTTCCTTTCAACTCTCCACAATTATTAGGTGCTCTCTTCAATGAGCAAAAAATACAGTCAACAGCTTGTAAATATAATAGATTTGTGTCCATTTTTGGAAGTTTATTCTCTAAATTGAAACTTTAAATCATTGTTATCTACTATATCAACAGTTGCCTAAATAGACCTTTCTTTGGAATATTCCTCTTAAGTTTAGGAAGACTCAAGGCCATTTCTCTCGAATTTGGTCATTGAAAGCACAGTCATACTCCCTGTAAGGCGGAAGATGATTGTGTCTACCTGCATTCCACTATTGCCCTGTTAGCAGCATTCAGTACTGCATGGAAAATATAAGAGAGAAAACATTATCAGACACTGATAAAGGGGTTCTTAGAAATGAGCAGGACAGCGAAGGTAAAAGTGAGGGCAGAACAGCAAGCATTATATAAACAGCCCTCGAGTAGCTGCTTATAGCCTCTTTATGATAATGCATAACGGCATTATTGGTAGCAATGATGACACAAATGATGACCATGATAATTGCTGTTCTACAGCAGCTACAGCTACAGTTCACTGTTCTACAGCCACAAGACTGACACCACACTGGTCATTTATATGCATTATGACATTTATACAATAGATTATGATGGCAGATCTTATTTTCCTGACTTTATAGATTATGTAACTCAGATTCAGGTAAAATGACTTGTTCAAGGCCAGTGGCCAGTAGAAGGCAGAGCCAGGATTAGATCTCAGATTGGCCTGGCTCCAAAGCCCATGCTCTTTCTACCTCTCTGCCACTTTCTACAGATAACTTTGGAAAGGTACCAGTGCTAGAAAAGCATTAGAACATTACATCTTGCATTTGAAGTGTCAAGGCAAGGGCACAGGAGGAAAACAAATGACTTACGGGAAAGCAGAGCACCTAAGCTGTTTCAAAGTGTCTTTATTCTTGTAGCATTTTTTCTTTCTATTTTTCTACACAGATATTTTAAAACTATGCCACAGCCCACATATTATTTTATTCAATAAGATGACCAATAATAAACCTTAATCACACAGAAAAACATTAGCTTTCAATGTTTGACCTAATTTAAATGATCTTTCCTGAAGACCTTTGTCTGAGAATGACTGCAGGGTCTCTGCAACACTGTGTCTTTGACCACGAATTACATCAGTGATGGGTACACATTCATGTATTTGCCTGAATATGTGGGTTGGCTAAGTACAAACTGTGGCCAAGGAAAGAAAGTTAGTCAATTGTGGATGCCATTTTGAAGTTTTGGTGTTAGTATGAAAACCAAACACAATTTCATAATTTGAGGCTTCAACATCAGGATATTTGATTTATTTAAAATAAACTCTTCATGTTTATGTGTGTTATATTTAATTTCTCTAATGGCTCAAGCTTATGTAACTGTGGTCTTCATCTTCAATTCTCTTCCACATTGCAAACACAAATTAGAGACCTGACTGAATTACTATTTTAAAGTCATTTTAAATGTGGGAGCCCTATATTCTTGAGGGGTTTTAAACATATATTGGTTTTCCAACTAACAAAATGTATATCAAGCATAATTTCAGTACTTAACATGGTAGGTAGTAAACGTATATTTTTCTTTTCACATAGCTACTGAATATCAAACATGAAAAAGTCATCAGTCTGGTTAATTACTTTTGCCTATAAGAACAAATGTAAGGCCAATTTAGAATACTATGTCTCTTCCATTGGATTTCTTGACTTTTTTTAACCTAAACTGCCCAGATTTATTTTTCCCTCAGGAAGGACTCCTCTAGAGGGAGTTATATATTGAGAAGAGAAATTTAATTAAAAGTTAAGCAGTGCTTAACAATCTCTCCAGGTTTTATGCTAAATAGACAGCCACTCTAGTCAGTTTTTAATACAAATCTCTTTTCTGATGCTTAAGTTTAGATACCATGGTCCAATCCAAATTGCTAATGTTTACTATTAATACTTGGAATTTTCTCCTTGTGGTGTCATGTTTATGATCACACCTGTTAATATCTCTAGATTTTGAACAACTTCAGGACAGGGAATATATCCAAATCATATTTTCAGCTGTGTTGTCTAATACCAAGCCCAGCATATAGTGAGTTCTTGAACCATAAAGTTATAATATGAATAATTCTTCCAGTTAAAAGCCCTGAACCTTTTCTGATTGCAGAACACAAGGTGGGAGAGAAAGTGAAGGGGTAGGACACGGGGGTTTAAAGAAGACAAAGGCAACCACTGTGACAAGCATCTCTTATCAGAGAGCTGATATTAAAAATCTGCAGTATCAGAAAGGCCTTATTTTACTGCTCAGGCCGAGGGGTTCTCTAACTTTTCTTGATAGGATGTTACTTTGGATTCCTTCAAAGCCTTATAACCTGGGCTGAGGGAAGAAAGCGTTTTGATAAGATGATTGATCCCCATGCCTAGGGGTATGTTTCATATATATTAGGTGTGTTAGGTTCACGTCAGTGGGTGTTTGCTGTTGAAATTTGTCGAATTCAATAAAACTCCTGCTGGGATAGCAGCAAGTTTAGAGAAACATAAGAGTAAAAGTCTGTTTGGGATTGAGAGTAAAAAATCAGCTCAGAGGGAAAAAGAGCAAAGTCACCTGCGTTTATTCAGGTTAGTAGTATGACAGACACAGATAATCCCAGCTTGAACTTAAATGGAGACACTGCCAAGGTCATGCAGCAGCTGGCAAATGCACAAATGACCCCTTCATTGAGTGGCTAGTGCTGTGTTACCAGTGCTACTCCATACTTGCTTACACTTCCCATCTTTTACTAGGAACACCCAATTGCTAAGCTACTCTCCCCTCGAGACGGCTCCCAACCCTAGTTAATTCCTGATACTCCTGCCCTCATCTTAGAAACAGCAACTGATCCAAAACTGATTGCTTCTTCCCTTAGACCTTCCTCTGGATTCTTCAGTAAGAGCTCAAACCTTACATAAGATGTTCCTCCTTCTCACTCGAGAGGTGTTCCACAACTGCTCTGGGGTACGTTTCCTTGTTACATCCAGTCAATTACAGGTAGTCCGACTATCTACCAGACTACAGCTTTGTAACTGGTCCTTGGTTGTTTAGATTTTGAGAACAAACAGGCAAATATGAGGGTCTGTAAGCAGGTCACTGTCCTAGCAGGAGATGTAAGGGGATAGTGAATAGTGTAATGGGGCTCTAGAGCCAGGCAAAGAAAGCAAGAGTCCAAATACTGCCTCTGCCTTTCATTGGCTAGGTCATCTTGAGCATGTTCCTTAATATTTTTATGCCCTAGTTCCTTCAAGTATAAAACAGGGGTAATATATCTCATAGCTTTATTGTGAGTATGGAGAAGATGTATATCAATGGTTCTTATATATATTTTAGCAGCATAACCTTTCTTCAGAAACAATCATATGTGGAAGCCCATTTACTGAACAAGCAAGGAGAGGGGATGCTTTATTTAAAGATGGGCCTGGGCCAGGAGACCACAGATTTGTTGCCTCCTTTACGTTCATGCTTGTACCTGTACTCCCCCAAGCCCATCACTCCAGGCAATGTGTAGGGCTCTGCTTATCACAGTTTGAAAACAGCTGCTTTATGTAGAGCACTTCAAAAAGTGCATAGCTGGTAGAAAACTTCTGTAAATGATAGTGATTCATACTACACTTGATGTTGTCCATCTCTTTATACAGTCCTACACTGTATTTTTTGAAAAGTAGTTGGATAAAAACAAAGCAAAACAATAGATAAAGCAGGTGTCCCCTGCAGACAACATACATTTGAGACCTGTATGTCTATTTACTGTTCCCTAGTCACACATTGTGTCCTTTTAGATCACAAACATTCCTGAAATGTCCTTTCACCTATCAACACAGGGCATATTGGACTTTTCTGTAGTAGTCTAGCTCAAGTTGATCTCCTCTGTGACATGGTAGTCTGGGATCTTTGGTTTTAAGTAACTGGAGCTCAACTGAAGAAAAAGCTGATTTTGCACTGCTTTGGGACAACTAGAGCTAGTTAGTTAACTGAATACCTGTGTCTGCTACATTTCTGACTTTCATGTCTTCTTCCTTTGCAGATTGCCTCACATTCTCAGACTGACTTCTCAAGGTAGACAAGAGAGTCAAGTTCACAATCATACATTCTCAAGATCAAAGAGATGATATTTTTTTTACTCCAATTCCAGTGAGAAAACTCTCAAGGAAAGATTCTTATTTGCAAAGTCTGAGTCATATACGTACTTTCAGACCAATACTGTGGCTGAATTAGTGCATTTGTGTGATTGAACTAGCTGGGAACATGTTCCCATCCCTCAACCAATCACTGTGGCCAAGGAGGAGGGTCGCTTAAGAAGACATCAACACTTTCTGATCTCAGGTATTGATTACGAGCTTTGTTTTTGGGGTTAGCCTGACCCGTTGGCAATTCTGGATCTATTATTTACTGGCTGTGTACCCTTTGGAAAATTATTTGTGTCCATTTACCCATTAGATTGTTGTGAGGTTTAAGTGAGAAAATGGCACTTATTTTCTTAAATTTTGTGGCAGAAATGGGTGAAAACAAAAGTTAAAGGAGGAAGAGCTGTTTTTTACTTTCAGATACTGACATATAACTTAATGTATGAATGAATTTTCTGACCAAGAAAATTTTTTAAAAAATTCATGTACTCTAATTTTCTTGCAGGACTTAACACTTAAAGGATGTGAAACCATTGAGGCAAAAACAAATACTTCAAAATTTGTCTTGACTACTGGGATTTTACAGAATGTCTGAGACAAAACAATTATAGATTTGTTATTGGTTAATTCATTTCTGGAATTTCTATCTTATATGTCTCTCCTCCCTTTCATATTTTCTTTTTCATGATTCCCCCCCACCCTTTTCCTGATTCCCACCCGATTTTTTACCCTTGACTAGAAACTGGTATAGAATTTGGAATAAAACTTCTGTAACTCAGTGAGGTTAATGTTAAAATTTTCTTTGGGCCATATATCAGAATTTTTATTTTTATAAATTGTCTAATGCTTATTAAGAATTAAAAGACGTATCTCTTTAAAAAGTTAGTTGGCTCTGCTTCAAATAGGTCTCTTGGGGAAAATGCTGTTACAGTTTTCAATTTTAAATCCATTATTATAAGCATAACTACCTGCCTTTGACAAAATGGAGTTATGGATATTTACCCCAATCGGTTTTAAGAGTTTCTGGAAAAGAAAACAAAAGAGAAATCAGAAAATAAGATGGATTTTTTCTTTGAGATAAGAAGACTTTTTATATTTGATGATTTTTTTGGCCTTTGATATCTATTATATTATAGTGTCTATGTGTATCAGCTTGCTTATTCTGTGTTTGAGAATTTTATCTCCTTATGCTTCTTTGAGATAGCAAAATACTAAGCTATGTGAAGAAGAAGAAGAAAAAAAGATAATTTAAGACCTATTTGCAGTTCTGTCAATAGCTAGTTGTGTAACTTTGGGCAAAAGAGAATATTTGGACTCAAAATATGGCTCTGAGGCTGGTGTGATCTTTGGCCATTTTACTTGTCAAGGCTGTGGATTTTTCCTTCTATAAAATGATAGGGTTCAATATTATAACTCCTTAGGTTCCTAGCACTGCCATTAGTCTATGATTCTATGCAAACCATAATGTGTTCAAGAATATCAAGCATTGAGCCTAAAATTTGCAAAGATATTTTTTATATTTCCCCTTATTTATGATAAAGTTGATATGTGTTTATATATATACATTAAAAGCTTGATCATATAAGTGATAGTGGCTCTGATGTTTTTTTTCAAACTGGTGAAACCCACTAATCTTGCTACTCCTACTTACTTGGCAATTATAAACACATATGTCAAACAAAATAGCTTTTGGTTTTTTTTGGCAAGGGTGTATGGTTTGCTGACAGCTTATCCTGGCAGTCATATATTTTCCTTACTCTGGTCCTTTCCCTATCAGGAAATGTGAGATTACAAGGATGCATTTCTTCTTTGAGAAAGGATCAAGCATCTCCATTAGAGTGATGACCAATTATTTGCTGGGAAATATAAAACTAACTTCTAACAGTCCATTCACTAACAAACACATTCTAAATAAGCTAATTTTGATATAATTGGGGGGCAAGATGAGAGTATAATTCTGAGGACTTTTAAAACTGGTTTACCTACTTTTTTAGAAATGCAAGGTAAGATTTTCACAAAAGCTTGAGACTTGGCATTAGAAAGAATTCTACTTGAATACTGTTGCCCTCGCTTGAGTGTGTGACCTCCGCAAGGTACTTAACCTCTCAGAGCCTCCATTTCCTTATCTGGAAAATGGGGAGTACAATATTTTCACAGCAGGGTATTTGTGATAATTAAATGAAAAAAAAGTTAAAAATACATAGCAAATGCCATTTGATAATTGTGAATCTGAAATATGAAATTTAGTGTGTTCATTTAAAAATTATTATATAGTGAATATGAGAATACCCTAAGCATGGGATGAGACATAAGAGACTCAGAACTCTCTCCTATTCTATAAAATGTTCAACATACATATAATGCATTTCATGGGTTTAATTTTTTCCTCAACTTATACAAAATCTTTAACAAATAACACTCAAGTTCCTTATTCACAAACAACCAGAGCCAGCTTATTAGATCATCTTTGCATTTGGTATTGGAAATAGCTGATTGGCAGAATATGCTTACTTGGGTAGCCCTGGTTTTGTGGAATGCATCAAACTAGGACTGGGATCAGTTTTTCTCAACATCAATAAAATTTAGAGAGCCTGGGGACTTTCAGATGCTCGTTCTATTTTGCAATATTCATAAAAACAAATATTAAATTATTCCCTCCACTGCCCCAGCCTTGCCTTTCCCCAATCAGTTTTTGAGGCAAAGCAATAACAAGTAGAGCCAGAGAAAAAGTTTAATAATTTGTGTGTGCTCCATGCCAAGGCTAATGGTTCCTCTTTAGTGCTAGGCTTGAGGGCCCAGTTGAACACATCTATGACTAAGACTTCCTAGACAACTTCAGGAGCTACAGACACATACCCTACCAGGTTTACTTAAGAAGAAGTACTGCTCCCTGAACCTCTCCTACATCCCCCACAGACGTACTTGCTTCTTCTATAGTTTTGTCACTTTACATTTTTAGGAGAAAAACTGGTGTTTTGCAGTACTGACAATGAAGAGTAGGAGTAAAACTAGCTGGACATGACAGTCAATTTTCCTTAAACTTATCAGTGTATGTAATCAAAAGAAAGCTAAACAAAGGGAAGCAGGCAGGTATGTCTTCTTACAAAGCCCACCGAATTTTTCGTAGCTGTTCTTTTACATAAATTTGAGTAAAGGATATTTTGCTGAGTTTAATACTAATGCTCAAGGTCATGATGGGCACAATGCTTGCTTGTAGGTGAGACCATAGAACTAAAAAGGCTTAGTCTATCATGCTCCTGGATGTCATGACTATTTATTCATGGAGGGTCTATTTTGTTCAGGCATCCCTAAGATTATAGGAGAGATGACGTATTTTTAGCAGACACATACTTGCATGCCTATTTCTAGTACCAATATTTGTGGGACAAATCATTCCCCAGTTCTAGGAAAGGATAGGTATTTTGCCTTTTAAATTTGCTTAGGACAGCAGGCTTTTCAAGAGATGAGAGGATGGGATGACACAGAAAAGCCCCTGTTAAGCTTTGGCATTGTGAGCCCCAAAGTGGCAAATATATCAAGTTTCATGTGACTCTTTTGTGGGACGGAACTAGCAGCCATCATTCACCCAGCTGGCCTTCCTGGGGGTGGTTTCCAATTCACATGTCAGGTTTTATCAAAGTATAGATGCAGATTAATTTCAATTTAAGTATTACCTCTGCTTTTCTTTTAAATCAAATCTTCTTCTGTGAGGAAAACTCCAAAAATTTAAATGTACAGATAACTATGATATAAGAATAATAAGAAGATTTCTTTAAATCATTTATTCATAAGTTTTCTGGACAGTCTGGTCTACAGCATGTCCTCAACAAATATTTGTTCGATGAATTATTATTATTATTATTTAATTTATTAAGTGCCTATTCTGTCCAGGGAACTTTTGCAACATGTTATTTTGTTTAATTCTTATAATACAGTTGAAGTATGTCTCATTATCCTCATTTGCAGATTACAGGTCTAAGAGTCAGATTTGCTGACCTAGCACAAGGCAAAATTGGTTATTGAACTAAAACCTGGTTCTAAGCCCAATGCTATTTTCTCTACCCCAAAGATGCTTCATGAATCCTTCTTAATATGGCCAGACAATGCAGTGGTCCAACTTTCCTTAATGTAATGAGTTGAGAGTTGGATTTTATTACCAGTATATAAATATCCCCATGTCACAACAGCCAAGGATCCTAGTCCCCCACTGGTTTCATGTGGTGGTTCAGAGTCACAAATACCTGGGAAGCTTTCCCAGGGCAAACCAGAGCAGAAGTCCCATTTGATTTTTCTTGATTCATCTTTGCTTTGGGGCTATGACAAATGAATGACTCACCTGTTTGAGGTGGTATTTTGTTATTTAAGATTTTCATCCCTAATATAATCCTGAACTCATTTGTTTGTCAGACCTCGGGGCCTTACTGTAGGCCCCCTACTTACTGTAGGATTCAGTGTCATCCATCTATCAGCAAGGATTAATTGGTGCTTCTCTGTTTTTCCACATGCACATGAAGTTCTTATAAGAAACAGTCTAAATTCATTGAATCTTCACAACTATTAAGAGGATCAAAATCAACTGAATCTTCTTTTTGTACTTTCACAGAAGAAACAGTTGCTCAGCTATTTTCACAATAGTCTGAAACATGTAAGGAGGTACTGGCTGAAATCAACACTAATTACTCCAAAGGATTTCTAAGAGTTTGTGCTTATTCAGTAGAAGATATAAAATAATTTCAATCATTTTGGATGGCATCTACATGGAATTTTTGTTATTTTTATATATTTTTCAGAGTTCTTTTTTTTCCAGAAGGCTCATTCTTAGTCATGTTTTCATGGTGCTAAACCCTGAAATTTTAAGTTCTTTCCAAATTCTTTTTAGGTTAAAAAAAGTGGAAAAAAAAGAAGGTTGACTTTCATTACGTCTGTAAGGAGTTTATTTTAAAAAATCAATAGAGTAGTTACTCCTTGCTAACCAACAGGAATTCTGGGGAATGCTTTAAGAAACCATTTTGTTTATACTGAACAAATCAAATTCTCTCACTCTGAGTGGAAATTGAAATTCTTTTGTCAACATCTATATTTCTAACCAGTAATACCAGTCTTCTCCCAGTCATTTCATTATAAAATTTTGGGAGTCATTATTGACTATCTCTCCATAAGACTTGTGCCTTGTGTCTCCATGACTCGTGAGAGTGTATTTTATACAGAGGGACTTTTGGATGTTGATTGATGATGATATACTAATATGCTTAAAAATAACATAATTAGTTTTCAAGATATTGAAAGAAATATAAAATCTAGAAAGAAGTTTGAGACCAATGATTTGCTTTGACATTTATTTCACCTGGACTGTCTTACCTCTTGTTTCCCTTCCCTGGCTTTTCCATATTAGGTTCTTCAGAGTTTGTCAGAGCACCACTTCTCTTGCCCTCTACACCATCTGTTCCATCCTTATTCTTATAGCATTTTCCCGTCCTTCTAAATTACTTAGCTCAGTTAATGATTGCCATGCAATCAGAATGTTAAACATAGAGTCATTTTCAAAGTGCTTTTTCCTCTCACTTGCAATACACTGTCTTGGTCACCAAGTACAATTGATTCCGTCTCCAACATCGCTCTAGAATCTCTCTGCTCCACTTTCTCTCCTGTCTCTGCCACAGTGATCCAGGACCTCGTCACCTCTTACTTAATCACAAGAAAAGTAAAAAGATGAAAAAACCAAAACCCACAAATCCAATCTGCCCCCTTTTCACAGTCTGTAATAACCTATACTCCAATTATACTACCTCTCTCTCCATTTTGAATCCTGCATTAGAGACTCACTGAATGTGATGCCATTTTTACATATTCTCAGAGTCAACACTTGTTTCCTCAAACTCATATGTCCTATTACCCCCTTTTATGCCTAGAAAATGCTCATTGATCTTAAAAGAGTCATCAAAGTATCATTCTTTTAGGTAACTGTGCATGAATTTAATGACTTCCTCCTCAGTGCTTGCTTGTACAACACTTAATACATTGTGCTGCCAATTATTTTTTCACCTGTCTTATTTATCTGTGACTTTATGGTTCCTTAAGAACAGAGACCATGTTCTTATTCATCTTCCAACTTCCAGGGACAAAGTCTTACCTAAGACATGTGGTGCTCAGTACATTTTTGTTGAATGAGTTGAACTAATGGTCCTGCTTCGGACCCCCCTCTGCTGTCATTCTACCCATGATCTC